TCTGGCTACAAGTCTCAAAACTAACATTAGGATTTTTCTCCCCCCTTTCTCAGTTGGGCTCAAACTGCCTTTTCCTCTGAAATCCTGAAAGGTAAATACAATTGTACAACATGATGCAAACTTCAGAAAAACCACCAGCGCAGCTCACATACAGATAGTCTTCATGCCTGTTGCTCTGTGGGCCACTCAGGGATCACCAGACACATTTGAACTACAAACCAGAAAAGTCCATCAGATTGTCACAGCCTGCTGTCACTCTATCTGAAGATATTTCAGCTTGACATCGAGAAATCTTCACCCCTGGCTACCGTCAGAACTCAGGAACTGATTTATAATTTGATTCAATAATTCACCATCATTTTGTTTGTTTCCACAAAAATGCTTCTTGTTTAATACCTGATTTCTTGAACCAAAGGCCTTACTTTGAGAACACAGCTGCATCCCCCGCCTCCTGAAATAAGTGTGACTAAACTAACCTATTGTCTTGAGAGAGTCAAAAAAGCTGAACAATCTACCAGCCCAATATTTAACATGTGTAAATTTGGAAAGTTTCAGAGTAGGGAGGGAACTGGCCAAAGATAGGCTGCCCCAAGATGTGTCACTTTGGCGTGACCATTATTTGAAAGTAAAAGCAAATAAACTGAGCAGATTTAGGAAAAGCTCTATACCTCCCCCAAAACTGCCTGCTTGTACCAGGAAGAGGCCTATTTAGCAGGGTGTACCTCTTTACCTCTTTACCACATAGCAGGACAACCTTTGTTCCCAAACATCTCTCACCTTCTTTATTTAAAAATTTTTTTGTTATGTTAATCACCATACATTACACCATTAGTTTTTGATGTAGTGTTCTATGATTCAATGTTTGCATATAACACCCAGTGCTCCATGCAGAACGTGCCCTGTTTAATACCCAACACAGGGCTAACCCATGCTCCCACCCCTCTCCTCTCTAGAACACTCAGTTTGTTTTTCAGAGTCCATTGTCTCTCATGGTATGTCACCCCTCCGATTTCCACCCCCTACATTCTTCCCCTCCTGCTATCCTCTTCTTCTTCTTCTTTTTAACATATATTGTATTTTATTTTCAGAGTTACAGATCCGTGATTCAACAGTCTTGAACAATTCACAGCGCTCACCATAGCACATAACCTCCCCAATGTCTATCACCCATCCATCCCATTCCTCCCACCTCCCACCACTCCAGCAACCCTCAGGTTGTTTCCTGAGATTAAGAATTCCTCATATCAGTGAGGTCATATGATACATGTCTTTCTCTGATTGACTTATTTCGCTCAGCATAACACCTTCCAGTTCTATCCACGTCGTTGCAAATGGCAAGATCTCATTCCTTTTGATGGGAGATGGACATCGTGGCTCTTTCCACACTTTGGCTATTGTGGACATTGCTGTCATAAACATCAGGGTGCACATACCCCTTCGGATCCCTACATTTGTATCTTTGGGGTAAATACCCAGTAGTGCAATTGCTGGATCGTATGGTAGCTCTATTTTCAACTTTTTGAGGAAATTCCATACTGTTTTCCAGAGTGGCTGCACCAGCTTGCATTCCCACCAACAGTGTAGGAGTGTTCCCCTTTCTCAGCATCCCCGCCAACATCTGTCATTTCCTGACTTGTTAATTTTAGCTATTCTCAGTGGTGTGAGGTGATATTTCATTGATGTTTTGATTTGGATTTCCCTGATGCCAAGTGATGTTGAGCACTTTTTCAAATGTCTGTTGGCCATTTGGATGTCTTCTTTGGAAAAATGTCTGTTCATGTCTTCTGCCCATTTCTTGATTGGATCATTTGTTTTTTTGGTGTTGAGTTTAAGAAGTTCTTTATACATTTTGGATACTAGCCCTTTATCTGATATGTCACTGGCAAATATCTTCTCCCATTCTGTGTTTTGGTTTTGTTGACTGTTTCTTTTGCTGTGCAAAAGCTTTTTTCTTGATGAACTCCCAATAGTTCATGTTTGCCCTTGCTTCCCTTGCCTTTGGCGATATTTTTAGGAAGAACTTGCTGCAGCTGAGGTCGAAGAGGTTACTGCCTGTGTTCTCCTTTAGGATTTTCATGGATTCCTCTCTCACATTGAGGTCTTTCAACCGTTTTGAGTCTATTTTTGTGTGTGGTGTAAGGAAATGGTCCACTTTCACTCTTCTGCATGTGGCTGTCCAATTTTCCCAACACCGTTTGTTGAAGAGACTGTCTTTGTTCCATTGGACATTCTTTCCTGCTTTGTCGAAGATTAGTTGACCATAGAGTTGAGGGTCCATTTCTGGGCTCTCTATTCTGTTCCATTGGTCTATGCGTCTGTTTTTGTGCCAGTACCATACTGTCTTGATGATGACAGCTTTGTAATAGAGCTGGAAGTCCGGAAGTGTGATGCCGCCAGCTTTGCTTTTCTTTTTCAACATTCCTCTGGCTATGCGGGGTCTTTTCTGGTTCCATAAAAATTTTAGGATTATTTGTTCCATTTCTTTGAAAGAAGTGGATGGTATTTTGATGGGGATTGCATTGAATGTGTAGATTGTTGTAGGTAGCATTGACATGGTCACAATATTTGTTCTTGCAATCCATGAGCATGGAACGTTTTTCCATTTCTTTGTGTCTTCCTCAATTTCTTTCATGAGTATTTTATAATTTTCTGGGAGTATAGATCCCTTGCCTCTTTGGATAGATTTATTCCTAGGTATCTTATGGTTTTGGGTGCAATTGTAAATGGGCTTGACTCCTTAATTTCCCTTTCTTCTGTCTTGTTTTTGGTGTATAGGAATGCCATTGTTTTGTGTTCATTGATTTTATATCCTGCCACTTGACTGAATTCTTGTATGAGTTTTAGCAGTTTTGGGGTGCAGTCTTTGGGTTTTCCACATAAAGTATCATATCATCTGCAAACAGTGAGAGTTTGACTTCTTCTTAGCTGATTTGGATGCCTTTGATTTCTTTTTGTTGTCTGATTCCTGTGGCTAGGACTTCTAGTACTATGTTGAATAGCCGTGGTGATAGTGGACATCCCTGCCGCGTTCCTGACCTTAGGGGGAAAGCTCTCAGTTTTTCCCCATTGAGAATGATATTCGCTGTAGGTTTTTCATAGATGGCTTTTATGATATTGAGGTATGTACCCTCTATCCCTATACTCTTAAGAGGTTTGATCAAGAAAGGATGCTGTACTTTGTCAAATGCTTTTTCTACATCTATTGAGAGGATCATAGGATTCTTGTTCTTTCTTTTATTAATGAATTGTATCACATTGACTGATTTGCGGATGTTGAACCAACCTTGTAGCCCAGGGATAAATCCCACTTGGTTGCGATGAATAATCCTTTTAATGTACTGTTGGATCCTATTGGTTAGTATTTTGGTGAGCATCTCTCACCTTCTTGCTAATGCTCTTTCTCCTCTTTGATCCTCAGACCCCTACCCCTCTCTTTCACTCATATAAGTGTCATGTTGCCTGACTGTCTTTGGAATTCTCCATGTCTGTGTGGATTCACATTATGTAGGCTATTAAATTTGATTTTCTCCTGTTAATCTGCCAAATGTCAATTTGATTCCGATTCAGCCAGAGGGACCTTGAAGAGCAGAGGAAATACGTCCTCCCCAACAACAGGCACTGATGAAGTTTCCTCAGTGGTCAGACAAAAGTAAGCAGAGATGTGCATCTATAGACGTCCTGATGAATTGTGCCCTGGTTCCGCGGTAGATTCTATCTCCCGGAAACATGAGGTGTAAGTCATCCTGCACGAGAGATAGGTCCTCACACTGTCCCAGCTGGTGGAACCCACTCTACACACTGTGCCCAAGCCTACGCCTCCTTCTTCTCCTTCCCACTCCCATCCTCAATCCCTGCCTCCTCCACATCCTGAGGACTCTTACTTTGTTCCTCTATCAACCCCTTGCCCAGAACTCCTAGTCTGTCTGGACAGAGTCCACGGCCCCTGCCATGTCCCTCCTACGTGCTCCATCATTGTCTGTGCAGAACGGGGATGTCATATTGATACAACAGATTCTAGGGTTCCCTGTGCACCCCTCTAATGCTCCCGCTCCAACCCACCAACCTCACCGTCCTCATGCTCCTGGGACACAGCTTCTCTTTACAACATGTTTAGCTTCTGTGTCCTCTCTCTTCGCCCAGGCACTATCAGCCCCCTGAGCATGGGGAACCTTCCTGTCATGTCCACATGTGTCCCACATCCCTAGACTTACATGTGGCACATGCTAGGTGTTCAGGAGGTGGTGTGAATGCACACTCACTGGACAGTGCTCTATCCTCATTCAGAGACAGCTGGACTCCCTGTCTCTGGTTCTATCCTGACTTGTCACAGTGATATGGGATTGTGGAACCCAAAGTTCAAGAGAGAATGCTTGAGACATTGAATGTTGCAAAAAAAAAAACAAAACGATGATGTTGCTATAGCCCGGGGACAGGACACATGGGTAGAAATCTCACTGGGATTGTGAGGAGTGACTGATTATATACTTTTTAATTAGTGGAGGTGAGGGATAGTCTAAGTCTCTAAGGAATTTGGAAGCAAGGGTTTCAGGAATCGAGGGGCTAGCTGCTGTGAAGACGAGGTTACTTCAGTCTTTAATCAAACACACACATGAAGGCGCTAAGGCAGCCATGAGGTCCTTGAGGAAGGTCACACTCCGCAGGGGTCAGATATCTATCAGGGGCTTCAGCTGTAGGAGATTTACATTAAGTGACATTTCTCCTGCCTTTGTCTCCCTCATCAGCAGACTCTGTTACCAGGGGAGTCTGTCCTTGACACTCAGGAATTTCACTCAATATGGGAAAACCGTACAGTGTGTTCCTGCCAAGGACAGGCTTGAGGGGCTGAATTTAACAGAACTTGGATGATTTTATAGGCAGAGTTCCTTGATATTGGTCTCAGACTACAGTTTAGACCAAACAAAGGGAGGAGCTGACTTGGCCAAGGAGGGGGAGCTGCACAGGGAGACTGGTTGCTGAGGGACAGCAGGTTTTTGTCTCACTTCCCCACAGGCCGGGAGCACTGTGTGAGCACTGAGACTGCTGTCATAGGACTGGCAGTAATACTCAGCCTCGTCCTCAGCCTGGAGCCCACTGATGGTCAAGGTGCCTGAGCTGCCAGACTTGGAGCCAGAGAATCGATCCGGGACCCCTGAGGGTCGCTTGCTATTATCATAGATGACGGTTCTGGGGGCCTTTCCTGGGAGCTGTTGGTACCAGCTCACATAATTACCACCCCCGATGTTGGAGCTGCTTCCAGTGCAGGAGATGGTGACCCTCTGGCCCAGAGCCCCAGACACGGAGGGCGGCTGAGTCAGCACAGACTGGGCCCAGGCGCCTGCAAGGGGGAGAGACAGAGAATGGGTGATACTGGGTTCTTCAGACAAGAGGAGGAGGCAGGGCCCCCCAAGTCCCTCCAGGGCCCCTTCCCCTATCACTGCGTCCAATCACCTGTGCAGTGAGCGAGGAGGCTGAGGAGGAGAGGGGACCAGGCCATGGTGGAGGTCATCACCAATCCTGCCTTCTGTGGCCCCACAGCTGAGCAGAGCCTCCCTTAATCTCTCCCTTAGCCTCTTCATCCTTTGAGAGAGGGAGGGCCTGAGCATGCAAATGAGACCCCTGTTCTCTGACCCCTCCCTGGTCCTGGGTCATGTCCTTCTGCCTGTGGATGTCAAGGACATGGGCAGGGGAGGGGCTGTGTGGGGCCAGGGGGTTGGGAGGTCCCAGCTGTGAGCGCTGAACAGAGGGCACAGGCAGGGCCAGGTGTCAGGTCCCAGCTCTGATCACCAATGACTCCTAAGAAATGGGACTAGAGTGCCCCCTGGTGTCCAGACCCAGACACATCATTGTGTGACATGGTGACCAGGGCCCATCAGACCCATCTCTGCAACCCCCACCCCCCACAACTGCTTTGTCCACTGCTCCTTGCATTAGGACCTGACCAGGTGTTCCTATATATCACTTCCCTTAAGTCAGGACTCACTGTATGCCCTGTTAAGAGTCTTCAGAATGAATCTGTACATGTCTCCCTTCTCTGTTCCTGGGTCAGGACTGGGGTGGTGTCTCTACACAAACTCCTCTTAGAGATGAGTGCCCAGTCCAGAGTAGTAACAGGTCCCCATGGACACAGGGTCCCTTCTGTGCAGGATGCTGGGACTTTCCTCGTATGTGCTTTCTCCCAGATTTCCAGAGCTCTCCTTCCTCTGAGGTCCCCACAGCACTGAGGAGACAGGGAATGATTCTCTCCAGATCGTGTCAAGAAGCCGTCCCGTGCATTCCTAGAGGGTCACACATGGAGCATCGTTGTCTCCTGCCACTAATTCAAACAGCTTGAAACAACAGTTGTCCAGACACTGGGCAGGGATTCCCTCCTTGGCTCCGTCCTCCCAGCACAGACACGAGTCTGCAGGAGCCCTGCCATGTGAGTGAGTGTGGCCCTGACCTCAGAGCACAAAGGACAAATGTGCTGGAAGTTCTAGGAAGAAAAGGGTGACAGCTGTAGATGGTCTGACAGGGGCGTAGTGACAGAGTTTATATCATTCTCCACGGAGCCAATGTCATATTTAAGAAGAATGTGTGTTATTTTATACTTAATTCCATTCAGTAAGATGCAATTAATGGAACAGGAATGCCTTCTTTTCTCAGGAGAATAGGGTTTTATATACTTTTCCTAAAATCACTTATTTGTTGGGGCGCCTGGGTGGCTCAGTCGTTAAGCGTCTGCCTTAGCTCAGGTCATGTTCCCAGGGTCCTGGGATCGAGACCCACATCGGGTTCCCTGCTCAGTGGGAAACCTGCTTCTCCCTCTCCCACTCCCCCTGCTGTGTTCCCTCTTTCACTGTGTCTTTCTCTGTCAAAAAATAAAAAATATGTTAAAAAAATAAAAATAAAAATAGAAAAAAATTAATAAAATCATTTATTTGTACCATGTGTCTGGTCTCCATGTAGGAAAGGTCCACGTGGTGCCCAGTGAAACCCCTTGAGGTGACTGTTCCTATGAACTCAGAACCATCCTGCTGACAAAATTGCCAAACACAGACAGAACTAATGGATTTTACTACCCAAAGCCTACTGGACACAGAACTTGCTGTCAAATATCCAGAAGCTGAGGGGGAGAAGTGGAGATAAGGGGGAGTGTGTCCCTGAGGTCACATGCCGTGTGGCACTGGTTGGGACAGAAGACTTTCCATCAGAGTGTAGCCTGGCTGGAAGTGTCACTGGAGAATGACTAAAGAGTGACATCCCAGCCCTGAGAACACAGGGAACATGTGTCACTTGTCCACAAGGGTTTTGAGTTCTAAAGCTGGGGTCCCAGAATCAACATACTGAGCAGCCTCAGCCACTGACTGGATCCCACAGATGGTCTGGGGCTGAGCTGCCCATGGGGACAGGGACTCCCCTCTGGGATTCCTGAGCTTCAGTCTCATCCCAGGAGAGAGAAGTTCAGAGCCCATCCTGGCTGCCCTGGGGACAGGATCCCAGTCACACTAGATGTCTCCAGTTTTCCTATGGAGGAGCATTCTGCCTTCTGGAAATTGTGACCCTGAGGATGGCGGGGTGAGCACAGGTTGACTCGAACTTCTGGAAGGACAGAGAAGCCTGGAATCTGCAGAGTCCCAGACACACTATTCACTCAGAGGGAGGAGAGGGGTGTGTGTGTGTGTGTGTGTGTGTCAAAAACTGAGGCTACCTGAGCCCTATCCCTCTTCTGACTTTGAAATACCCTGAGGGATGTTTCTCTATGGGGATTCTGTTTATATACTTCCTGCATCCTGACCCTGCACTTAGAGGTCAGGATCTCAAAGATTTTTACTGGAAAAGGACTTATTTAGGCCAGGAGGGCCCATGTGAGAGCAAATCTGTTCACCATTCATTGAATCAGGAGTCCAGGTCCTGTTGAGTGACAAGAAGTCTGTCAATTTTTAATCTCTGCAGACACAAGACCTACAACTGTGTGGTTTTCAGGTGTCTGGAAGCATAGGGTGGGGTGGGAGCATGCAGCCCCCTCGTTCTTACCCTGACATCCCAGCCAGAGCCACAGTCCCCCGTGTCCCCAGGGGTCTACCAGGGAGTGAGAACAAGATATTGCTGATGGTTTTGTGCATGTGTGCATAAACACTACAGCCCTGGGCTTTAAATATCATAGAAAACCAGTTCTTGGTGAATCCTCTCTAGGGCATTGGAGCATAAGAAAAATAATGACATATCTTAAAATATGCAGGCCATCCTTTGTCTCTGGATTCCTCTAAGACTCCCCATGGCATCAGTTAATTCTGAAGGGGAGAAAAATCAATAGACTCATGTGCAAATACCTAAAGGTAGATAAATATATCCTCTTCACGAAATGTAATAACTCTATTTTCAAATTAAAGACAATGACTGGGGGAGGCGTGGGGGGCAATGTGGATTGAGTGTCTGACTATTGGTTTGGCTGTGCTCCTAATCTCAGGGTCCTGAGGGGCACCCGGGTGTCTCAGGCACTTAAACCTCTGCCTTCGGCTCAGGTCATGATCTCAGGGTCCCGAGCTCTAGCCCCGCATAGAGTTCCACACTGAGTGCAGAGTCTGCTTAAGACTCTCTCTCTCCCTCTGCTTCTCCCTGCTGTGCCCTCTCATCCAAATAAATTAAGAAACCTCTAAAATACATAAAGAGACTGACTGGGAGTGTTGAGAACAGAAAAATGGAGCCTGGGTCTGAGAGCAGGAAAGAGAATGTGAAGGGTTGCATGCACCTATATTTTCTGGTCATTCTCCTGCCCAGAAATGGGTCCTGGAGACTGGAAACTACAGCAAGGTCATTTCCAGTTTTCTCTGAAATCCTGATGTGGAGACAGAGCTCAGACTGAATAGCCAGAGGGAGAGACTGAAGCCTGAGGGACGCGAGAGCCAAGAGGAGAAGAGGAGCAGGGTGTGCGGGCTCTCGTCAGGGAGAGTCTGTAGGATCTGGTCCAAGTTCTCGTGTAGCTCGTTCAGAGAGAGGAGACTGTGTCTGTGACCAGGGTCATTGTCAATGTATCAGCTATGGATACTTCAGTCGTGACACAAGGTCACACTTTATGGAATAAGATGATAGAATGGATTGTGGAGGAATGTTCGCTGGGCAGTATGTTCAGCTGTAGACACAGAATTCATTGCTGTCCATCTTCTCCAGATTGAGTGGGGATGTGCGGTTGGGCTCGGGTATCTCATGTGTCTGTGTCTTCCTCGGATGCCCCCATTTTATGTCACTTTCCGTGCATTACATGACTCTTCCTCCTTCCCTGTTGAAGGATAGATCGTCGTCCAGAAGAGACCACCTTGCTATGTCTCTCCAGGTAAGTTTCTTACTGAAATGCGGCTCAGAAAAAAAGATCCGTGGGTCCAGAGGGTTTAGACCCACTTCCTCCATATCTGAGACGCTGTGAGGAGCGATACCTGCTCCCAGCACCCTGAGCTGCAGCCCAGGGATAGTCCACCTCGTTCTCAGCCTGCAGCCCCGAGATGCGCAGAAGCTCTGCATCGGCCGAGGCATCTTTGAAGCCCGAGAAGCGGCTGGGGACCCCGGAGCCCTGGTGCTTATCGGAGTCTAAGGAGTAGTACAGCCGATCCCGGGGAGGGCTCCCTGGCTGCTGCTGGATCCAGTAGATGTTCAAGTCGCCAACACTGATGTCCCTGCTCAGGGTGCAGGTGAGTCTGTCTGTCGTTCCCGGAGGTGCCGAGAAGGAGGGCGGCTGGGTCCGCACGGGCTGGGACAGGGAGCCTGCAAACACAGACGTTAATGGGGCAAGAAACGGAGAAATTTATCAAGATGCTGACTTCAAGAAGAGTGACTTTGAGGCCTGCCCAGCTTCCCTGAGGCCTGGACCTACCTGTACAATAGGAGAGGAGCGTGAGGAAGACAGGCGTCCAGGCCATAGTGACACAGACACTGGACCCCACAGTGGGCCAGGCTGCCCCAGGCCTCCTTTTCTCCTCCACCCTCTGCCACAGGAGGGGCTCTCCATGCAAACGGGGTCCACCCAGTGACTGCCCAGCCCCTCCCTGAGCCCTGGTGCTGGGACTCGGCTCACAGACACACTGCGGAGGATGGGAGTGGCTTCAGCCCTGGGGAAAGCCCTGGGAGGATGCACCTGCTGAGACCACACACGGGTCCCTGCTCAGGGGACTCTGCCAGGCAAGAGGGGACCCAGCTGTTGAGTCCCCAACAGAGAGCACAGGGCCAGTCCCCACTTCATTTCTCTTGAGTGAATGCTCCTCACTGAGCTGCTATGTAGACACCACAGGGCCGTCCCACGGCGCCCCCTGCTGGTCACGGGCGCAGCCGTCACTGTGTCCCAAAGCCCTGAGAGCCCCGCTGATTTCTGCAGCTCACCACATCCCTGTGGATCCACATTTCCATGGACCAAGTCTCAATACAAGTTTCCCCTGCTGTCTGAAATTCCATCATCCCTAAGAATCCTTAATAAGCCACGATGGCATAAGGCAAGAAGCAATTAATATTAATTTATATGCACAATTTTTTTTTTTGCATGTTTCCAGGCTTAAAAAGAAATCAGTCGTAGGCTCCTCGGATACCCAAGGACACATTTTGCCGTCAGATGTAGAACACGAATGGCGATAAAGCGCATGTGATAACACACACCGTTCACAGCCGCGGTGGCCTGTGGCTGAGCTGCTGGGTGTGACTCTCGGGGAAGCCGCTGGAAGGCGCCCGTCATGCTGGTTGGGTTGTGCACCGTCTCTGGAGAGGCTCCTGCAAAACTCATGCCGGATGCTATGTTGGCACTTATTTTTTTTTGTGAAACTGAAAATCCTCTTCAGATGGCTTTGAGCAGTAAAAGCAGCTACTAATGTAAATATTTCATAAAAGCAAAGAGGTGTAAAAAGAACTTTCAAAAGTTCGGGATACCTATACTATGTTTCTTTCTTTTTTTTTTTTTTTTTAAAGATTTTATTTATTTATTTGACAGAGAGAGAGCACAAGTAGGCAGAGGGAGAGGGAGAAGCAGGCTTCCCGCTGAGCAGGGAGCCGGACATGGGGCTCGATCCCAGGACCCCAGGATCATGACCTGAGCCGAAGGCAGCCGCTTAACCAACTGAGCCACCCAGGTGCCCCCCTATATTATGTTTCTGATCTTTGTCCCAATTTACTGTAATTTCTCACTCCAGGGGGAGCCGTGGTCCATGCGAGGTGAAAATATGTGCATATACAATTACAGGACTTTCTAGACAAAGCTGAATGTCCCAGATGCGCAGGGGGGCACGTGTGTCGCCGAGGAGGGGACAGTGGAGCTGCTTTGCAGAAGTTGTAGAGGCTGCTTCTGGGAAAGGCATAGAAACAGAATTTTGGGGACACCTGGATGGCTCAGTCAGTTGAGCGTCTGACTTTGGCTCAGGTCATGAGCCCAGGGTCCTGGGATCGAGTCCCACGTCAGTCTCCCTGCTCAGCGAGGAGCCTGCTTCTCCCTCTGCCTGCCACTCCCCCTGCTTGTGCTTTCTCTCTCTCTCCCTAAGAAATAAATAAAATCTAAAAAAAAGAAAGAATTTTGTAAGGATACACTCACTCAGTGGCCTAATGTTTCCCAGCGTTCACTGTTGGTTCACACCTGGTACATCCTTACAGTGAGCCTGACGTCGGTGTTGCCGCATTAGGAGAGTCTCCGGGAACATCCCATAACCCCCAGTGCACAGGCCCTGGCATTGGACGTCTGCATTTGTCACGAGACTAATATAATTTCAACAAAAATGGGTCCACTGTTCATGCCTCCCACTCTAGGTTTTCATTTTCCCTTTTTGGTTAACCTCGGAATTCATTATTTCCTGTGTCTCTCTGACATACTTACAATTAATTTTCCTTTACATTAGTCCAGTTTGGTAACTGTTCTCAGTATGAGCATTAATATAAACCCTTACACTGTACAACCGACCTCCCTCTTCTTGGAATTTCTTTCTCCACTCCTGCATCAAGGGGCCCCCAGGACAAGGTATCCCACCCACATTTAGGCTTCATCCTGTTTACCTGGTAAGTGTCCCATGGACTGGCGGTAACCAAAAAACAGAATTTTCTCGATTTTTGTCTATAATATGAGGGCTTTCTATGACAATGAAGGTTGAATTCCTAGGCTCTGTTCTCCTAAATACTGCGATGCATCTCAGCATCACTCCAACTGAAAAGGCAGAGGAAAACCAAAGAGAGAAAAAGACTGTGAAACATGAGATTAAACATACTGGTCTCACCACAGCTGATTACGTCTGCAACAACCGCATTTCCCAATACAGTCAGCTCCTGAAATACAAGATTATTTAGAACTTTTATCACATGGATTGATAAAGATACAGTTCAACCCATAACGATTAACAACCATGGTTTATTCAGATTTTCTCAATTTTTACCTAATATCCCTTTGCTGTTCTAAGTAAGATCCAGTTCAGGATCATTATGGCATTTAGTTGTGATGCCTCCTTAAGCTTCTCTCACTGTGACACTTTCTCAGATTCCCCTTGTTTTGGTGACTTCATCCACACTTACTGAGTGGGAATCATGCCTGACATTCTTTTTATTTATTTATTTATTTTTTTATTCTTATGTTAATCCCTATACATTACATCATTAGTTTTAGTTGTAGTGTTCCATGATTCATTGTTTGTGCATAACACCCAGTGCTCCATGCAGAACGTGCCCTCCTCAATATCCACCACCAAGCCAACCCATCCTCCCACCCCCCTCCCCCCCAGAACCCTCAGTTTGTTATTCAGAGTCCATCATCTCTCATGGTGCATCTACCCCTCCGATTTCCCCTGCTTCATTCTTCCCCTCCTGCTACCTTCTTCTTTTTTTTTCTTAACATATATTGCATTATTTGTTTCAGAGGTACAGATCTGAGATTCAACAGTCTTGCACAATTCACAGCGCTTACCAGAGCACATACCCCCCCAGTGTCTATCACCCAGTCACCCCATCCCTCCCACCCCACCCCCCACTCCAGCAACCCTCAGGTTGTTTCCTGAGATTAAGAATTCCTCATATCAGTGAGGTCACATGATACATGTCTTTCTCTGTTTGACTTATTTCGCTCAACATAATACCCTCCAGTTCCATCCACGTCATTGCAAATGGCAAGATCTCATTCCTTTTGATGGCTGCATAATATTCCATTGTATATATATACCACTTCTTCTTTATCCATTCATCTGTCGATGGACATCTTGGCTCTTTCCACAGTTTGGCTATTGTGGACATTGCTGCTATAAACATTGGGGTGCACGTACCCTTTCGGATCCCTACTTCTGTATCTTTGGGGTAAATACCCAGTAGTGCAATTGCTGGATCGTATGGTAGCTGTATTTTCAACTTTTTGAGGAACCTCCATACTGTTTTCCAGAGTGGCTGCACCAGCTTGCATTCCCACCAACAGTGTAGGAGGGTTCCCCTTTCTCTGCATCCCCGCCAACATCTGTCGTTTCCTGACTTGTTAATTTTAGCCATTCTGACTGGTGTGAGGTGGTATCTCATTGAGGTTTTGATTTGGATTTCCCTGATGCCGAGTGATATTGAGCACTTTTTCATGTGTCTGTTGGCCATTTGGATGTCTTCTTTGGAAAAATGTCTGTTCCTGTCTTCTGCCCATTTCTTGATTGGATTCTTTGTTCTTTGGGTGTTGAGTTTGATGAGTTCTTTATAGATTTTGGATACCAGCCCTTTATCTGATATGTCATTTGCAAATATCTTCTCCCATTCTGTTGGTTGTCTTTTGGTTTTGTTAACTGTTTCCTTTGCTGTGCAAAAGCTTTTTATCTTGATGAAGTCCTAATAGTTCATTTTTGCCCTTGCTTCCCTTGCCTTTGGCAATGTTTCTAGGAAGAAGTTGCTTCGGCTGAGGTCAAAGAGGTTGCTGCCTGTGTTCTCCTTTAGGATTTTGATGGACTCCTGTCTCACATTGAGGTCTTTCAACCATTTGGAGTCTATTTTTGTGTGTGGTGTAAGGAAATGGTCCAGTTTCATTCTTCTGCATGTGGCTATCCAATTTTCCCAACACCATTTGTTGAAGAGACTGTCTTTTTTCCATTGGACATTCTTTCCTGCTTTGTCGAAGATTAGTTGACCATAGAGTTGAGGGTCCATTTCTGGGCTCTCTATTCTGTTCCATTGATCTATGTGTCTGTTTTTGTCATGCCTGACATTCTTCGGGGTAAGTGTTTGCACCTGTTACTTGAAATCTCTGTACTGGAATGTGTCTCTTCCTCCATTTATTCATTTATTCAACCATTTCACAATAGGGACTGTGGACAATTATTTTAAATTTTGAGTAAGAAGCTATTACTGTCACATTTATTCAGTTGCTCAAATCTTTCCAGTTTTGCCCAATGGGGGCATTTTAAGTGTCTCACGAGCTCCTGGACACACCCCGTCACTGTGTGTGTGGGCTGGGCCTGCACTGATGTGCTTGTGTTTATTCTGAAGGATTCTACACTTTCTGACACTAGAAGTCGCCCCAAGCTCGTCCCTGGAATTCCTGATCTGGGGACTAAGCCTCTCTACAAAGCAGCCTACATCTCTTTCCCAGAGAACGGTACTAGGAAGCACTATTTGGGGGAATGCACTCAGGGCTGTGGGCATCCCAGCATGTACTTCCACCCCGCTGATAGACCGAGCGCTTCTATATGACAGTCACTCACTCAGGACCCTGCACACAGCGCTGACTGTCTCGACAGGCAATTATCTGCCCCATCAAACTACACACGATTCCAAACCGCCCTCCCCAGCTCGAACCCATGAGCTCACGCTTCACCCAGGCCTCCTCCCTGGGTGCTATCTGCGACTTTCCAGTCCTCCTGGGAGAAATCTGGTTCCCCCAGGGCCCATCCACTGACTTGACTGCTCAATTCCAGGACACAGTGCAGGCCCCTCAAAATAA